TTTTGAGACAGGGTCTCCCTGTAGCCCTAGCTGTCCTGGAACTCACTATGTAGACCAGGCTGGCCTTGAACTCACAGAGATTCCTCTGCCTCTGCCTCTGCCTCTGTGCTGGGATTAAAGGCATGAGCCACCATGCCCAGCAGACTTCCAGGTCTTAAAGGTGTACTTCAGATGGGAACTTTTTGAAAGACTGGGCTTTGTGGTATACATACCCCTTTAATCTCATCACTCGAGAGGCAGAGGCAGGCCTTTGTGAGTTCAGGGCCAGCCTGGACTACATAGCTAGTTCCAGGCTAGCCAGGGCTGCACAGTGAGACCATATCTCAAAAAAAAAAAAAAAAAACCAAAAAAACAAAACCCAGCCCCAAATTTCCAAACCAAATCAAAGGGAGGAGTTTTTGCCTTTCTCCCCCCCATATATGTGTGTGTGTGTGTGTGTGTGTGTGTGTGTGTGTATATTCGGTTTTATTTTTTACCTAAAAATATCTGCATCTTTCTCTTGAACTTTTTTTTGGCTCTTTCTGGTGCTCTCTAGCTACTTTGTCAATGTACCAAAATTTAGGATAAAAGAGTTTATTTTGAGAAGGTGTGTTAAGAATATCTAAAAGACTTTGTTAAAAAAATTTAAGACAGGAGCTCACCATGTAGCCCAGGTTAGCCTTGACCATTTAATCATCCTGCTTCAGCCTCCCTGAGTACTAATGCCTGTGCTTCTGCATCCAGCTTAAAAACATTTTTTTTTAAAAGAAAACTTCAAAGATACACAAATAGAATAAAAAAATGAACCCTGTGTATCTGTTACTCAGATTCAACAGTTTTCAAGTCTGCTGCCTTTGCTTTGTCCTTCCTTTGATAAGTAAATCTCACATCTACTGCACTATCGTGCACCATCAGTGTGTTTCACTAAAGTAGACATTATGTAAATACAGTGCCACAATCATAGCTAACAAAATGAACACTAATTCACTGATGTTATCAGTTACTCAGTCCATAATCAGATTTCCTTGCTTTTTAGAAATGTCTCTTTACATCTGGTTTGTCCAAATTCAGATCAAATAAGTTCCACACATTACATTTGGTTAAAGAACAATTTTTAAAACAGATGGTTGTTAAGGAACCACGTGGGGAAGCTCTTATTGAATCTTAGAGCAGTTTTAGTTTCAGCTCTCTGTAACAATCTCTTGTCACCCTTTATTCCAAACTAGTTGACTTTTCTTTTATTGTGGGGGCGGGGGGGGGGAGAAAAGAGGATCTCCAAATTTGATACATTTCAGAAATTAAAAGATATTTTATGTATTTAAAATACCAACATAGAGATTTGTTAGGTTATATAGAGTAGTCTAAAGAGGATCTTAGCAGTTTTCTGATGTGGCTAGCTGTATAACATTGTTTTGAATACTAAAAATCATCAGACCATTTTGAGTGGGGACTGCTTTGCATAGAAAAGAGGATCTCCAAATTTGATACATTTCAGAAATTAAAAGATATTTTATGTATTTAAAATACCAACATAGAGATTTGTTAGGTTATATAGAGTAGTCTAAAGAGGATCTTAGCAGTTTTCTGATGTGGCTAGCTGTATAACATTGTTTTGAATACTAAAAATCATCAGACCATTTTGAGTGGGGACTGCTTTGCATAACTATCCTAGGAGAAAACCTATCTGATCATAGCTCAACGCCTTTCTCAAATTTTGGAGTGGAAACGGTATAGCCATGTTATGGCTATTAAATATAAACTGTCTTTCCTTAGCTTTTATTTTGCTATTTTCCAAGATGCAGATGGAGATTTATATTGCTTCTCTGGGACAGCAGAGACTTTTATGTAACTCCCTAAACTCATCTAGGGAGATACACAGATGGTTTTTGTATTGAAGAGATTGCTGATTCTTTTGAGCATTGTATTTTTGGAGGTGGGGGTGTGGGCCGAAGCAGACATTGCTTCTTTGGGGTTGAAAATTTCCTGTTGTAAATATGTATTTTATATTTGTTTTGTAGGCTGAAGACGTTAAGTGACAAGTCAAGAGAAGCGAAAGTAAAAAGCAAAGCCAGGTAAGCTCCTGACTTGAGTTTTGTGTGACTTTTGATCGAATTTGTGATAGTAGAATCTTTTCATGGATTTTAGATCTGTTAACACGTCATACCACACAAATTGCTTCTAAATATTGTGACATAGGGAAATTTTGTGATAAATCTGTGAAATAATTGGAAAACAATGAAGTGTAATCATTTTTCTCTAAGACAATCAATAGACATTGTTTGGCACTCTGTGTATTGAGACCAAAGTAAAAATTAATAATGAAACAGAATCTGACAAATGAATCTATTTGCTGTATTTGTGTTACCTGTTTTTATATGAGAATACCAGAATTGTGTGTGTGGTTTTTGTTTTTTATTTTATTTTTAAGTAAAGTATGTGACCAAATTAAATCACCATTCCCATTTGAGGGCTTTGATCCAGTGTATTTATTATTTTTAATGTAGCAATTATGTTAAAATACTTCCTATATTACATGCTAGAGATAATCTCTGCCAAATTAATAGTTGATACATTACAGTACATTACTTCTGAAATGTATTTTTCTGAAAGTTCAGATAAATTGTCATTAGCTTTTTAAAAAAAAAATGTGTGTGTGTGTGTGTTTATTTGCATCACATGAATGTAGGACCTGTGGAGGCCAGAACAGGGCCTTGGATCCTCTGGAACTGGAACTACAGGTGGTTCTTGAGCTGCCTGATCTGGGAACCAAATCCCAGTCCTCTAAAAAAGCAGTAAGCGTTTATGACCCAAGTTATCTCTCTAGTCTTTTCATTAGTGATTTTAAAGTAATTCGTGTACTAATTGACAGTGCCAGGCTTCTTCTATGTATTATAAATATTTTTTAAATAAAAATATTTTAAAAATATTTTTTATGGGAGCTTGGTTCCCAGCACCCACATGGTGGCTAACAATCATCTGTAACTCTAGTTCCAGAGGATCTGATGCCCCCTTCTGACCTCTGTGGGCATTGCACGACACAGGTGCACTTACATACATGCAGGCAGTACTCTCATACACATAAAATAAAAATAATAAATAAAATTTTTAAAAAAATTTTAGTTTCATGTGTATGAGTGTTTTTTCTGCATCTGTGTAAGTTTACCATATGCATCAATGCCCATGAAGGTCAGAAGATCCCTGATACTGGAGTTAAGGATGGTTGTTAGGTGCTATGTGGGTGCTGGGAATCAAACCCTGGCCCTCTGGAAGAACAGCCAATGCTGTTAACCTCTGGACCATTTCTCCAGCCCCCATGTAACTTTTTTTAAAATTGAAAGTAATTTTAATTAAATGTTTGTTTTGGCAGAACTGTTGCATATTTGCCAAAGTACTCTGCTGGACTAGAATTACTTAGCAGGTAAGTATTGTCCTTTAAAGAAGAAAGTTATACTTAAATTTTTGTTTGACAATATTATAATTTTATAGGTAAAAATTTAAAATACCAAATTTCGCATTAATATAATGGTTCGAAATCATTTACTACTTTCCCTTGAAGACTTCTGCTTTTCACTTGTCAGTACAAAATCCATTGAGATTTTTTGGGCAGATACATTACTATTGTATTTACTAGTGGGTATTTTATTACGTGTGTTTATGTTTTTTTTTTTTTATTTTAAGAAAACGGATTCTGAATTAAGAGTATCCAGTTTGTTTTTTTATTTTTGAGACAGGGTCTTGTGTAGCACAGGCTAGGGCCATCTCTTGTCTAGCAGAAGATAACCTTGAACTTCCTGATCCTCCTGCCACTATCACCTGAGTGCTAGGATTTCAGACGTGCACCACCATACACAGGTTATGTGGTGTGGCGATCAAGCTCAGGACTGTGTTGCTAGGAAAACACTCTTCGAATCTTAATTTTATACCATTCATTTATTTTCCAATCCATTTCTGTTGACAAGCAGATTAATATTAAGATACAGTTTTCTTAGACAGGATACCGAAAAAGCAGCAAAAGAAAAAACAGGTAAATTGGACACAATAAATTGCCTGCCCTGGCTCCCACACTAGCTGCTTCAGGAGCAAGAACAGGACTGCTGCTGGGCTGGGGTGTGGGCATGGCTGGCTGCTGCTGTAGTGGGGCCAGATGGACCAGAGTTGATGTGTTTGCCATGAAGCCTTCCCCTAGAAGTAGCAAGCCATCTAGCTTTTCTCTGCATCACAGCTGTGCGTGCATGTGTGTGCACACGTGAAAGTCAGTATAACTTAGGTGGTATTCTGTTTCCACCTGCCCAGTGCTGGGATTATAAGCAGCCACCATCATGGCCAGCTGCCCCTCCCACCCCACCCAAGAAAAAAACCCATATGGGTTTTGAGGAAAGAACTCGGGTCCTTATGCTTGCAAGGCCAGCAGTTTACTGACTGAGCTGTCTCCCCAGCCCTGAATATAGGCTTTTAAGCAGTGTAGTATATACCACAGTTAAAAATTAGTCTCCTGCTCTTCCAGGTATGGTGTTTGGAGGCAGTCAGAATAATCCAGGTTTTCCTACAATACAGCCTCTATCAGAACTAGGCTGTCCTGAACCCCCGATTACAGGGTTGTTTACCTTTATACCAAGAAAGGTGGGAAAGCACCGAAACCCGTGTGTGCTTTATACCACACAGACTTAAAGGGGTTTGTGCTGTGAGATCTAAAATCCTTATGAGATTGTCCAAAACAAAAAAAAAATCAGCAGAACCTATGGTGGTTTGATGTGTGCTAAATGTGTCCGTGACAGGATCAAGCATGCTTTCCTTATTGAAGAGCAGAAAATTGTTGTAAAATTGTTGAAGGCACAAGCACAGAGAAAGTGAAAAAGGCTTTTCTTAAGTTAAAAAAAGAATTAGTCTAAATCCCTAGAGAGCTAATGCTTTATAAAGCAGTTTGCTTTGTCCAGGATAGAGGGTAATTGTCAGTGTACGATGGATGATCAGCCTGACTGTGAAGTGTTCTGTTCTATATAGTAGAGAATATGGTCCTTAATTATTTGAATAGATTGCTGCATTATGAATCATTGACTTGGAATTTTAAGGATATCTGAAAGAAAATTTGAGGAATTTATAGCCAGGGTCGTCTTCTCAGTACAGTGTTACAGCAGGGTAATCCACGTGTTGAAAGTGACTGGGTGGGAAGGAGTTTCAGGGCTGCATGAGGTGCATAACACTTGCCGTGGTGGGCTGTTTAGGTTTTGTCTGTGGGGAATTACCTTGATTTATGTTAGTTGAGGTGGGAAGACAAGCTCTCTGTGAGCTGCTCTGTTCCCCTGGGAGGGGAGCCTGGATGGTATGATTGGGAAATATGGGAAAGGCTGAGTACTAGCTAGTTCATTAGTTCATTGCTCTTCGCTCTTGATGGAATGTGACTAGCTCTGAACTGTGGATGTGACCAGCTGCTTCACAGTCCTGCTGCCTTGACATCCCCCACAATGCAGGCTGTAGCCTGGAATTGTGAGCAAATCAACCCTGCCTCACTCTAGTTGCTTTTGTCAGGGCTTTTTAATCACAGCAACAGGAAGAGAAGACACTGGGTGAATCTGTCATTTAGGTAGTGCCAAATAGAACAGAAAAAAAGCCAAACTCAGTAATGTGGGAGAGGGTGACATACGTGTGGAACGCCTGTATGTAATGGGGGAAAAGGAGATAGTAGGAAATCGTCAGAAAAGAGTGATGTGGGGTCCACTGGCAAGTAGTGTGTAATTTGCTCTTCCATTGAGAAAATGTTAGTCTGTCAAAAAGTCTGAATTGGAAGTCAGTTTGTTCATTCCTTTATTCAGCAGACATTACTAAGTCTTCTGTGCTAATTACTGAGACAACAAAGTTGGAAAAGTAAGATTCATCTTGACAACTCTGGTGCCTAACAGTGCCTGGCATTCAATAAGTACTTGTTGATTTTAATTGATATGTACACAATCAGATACACCAGAGAAATACGTCACACTTTCTGTTAGTTGGCAATGACAGTAGGACTATATTAATTATGTAACCTTGTACAGTGTTTTCATTACATGTAGATGCTGGTAACAGTCTGTTGGGATTATCAGGTTGGCTTTCCTATTTAAATTCAATGGGAAAATCTCTTGACTATGAAGAGACACTATAAATTCATCACATACATATGCTTCTTTAGATAATAACTTTGATAGAATTAAATAAGATGGAAAAAAATCAAGTTTTCTGTCAGTAACCATATAGGTAATAAGTTCAGAAATTTTTTTCTTTTTTCTTTTTGAGACAGGGTCTCCCTGCAGCCCCAGCAGGCCTGGAACTCACCGTGTAGACTAGGTGGGCCTTGAACTCACAGAGATCTGCCTGCCTCTGCCTCCCAAGTGCTGGGACTAAAGGTGTGCACCACGATGCCCAGCCAGAAATTGTATTTTAAAAATTTATTTTGATGGGCCAATGACCTGGCTCAGCAGGTTAAAGATCCCCACTGTGCAAGCCTGGCAACCTAAGTTCAATCAGAACCCATGGAAAGAAAACTGACTCCACAGAGTTGTCCTGAGTTCCACATATATACCATGGCATGCATGCCTAACACACTCATGCACGAACATACGTAAGAAATAGTAAAACTATAGCAATTGTTAATTACATTATACTAACTGCAGTAATTAAAAATTAAAACTTTATATTTTGAGATGATTTCAGTCTTACGAAAGTGTTGCAAAAAAAGGAATCTCAGCTTCTCCCAGTACTAGCATTTTGAGCAACTGTAGCACAGTGATCAAAAGCAGCAAATTAAATGTTGGTAAACACGTTACTGCAAACCCATTCAGATTTTGTTTTTGAGAGAATCTACCTGTAGCTCCAGCTGTCCTGGAATTTGATGTGTAGGCCATACTGGCCATGATCTCGCAGAGATCTGCCAGGATCTGCTGGGATTAAAGGCATATGTCACCATGCCTGGTTTATTCAGATTTTATTAATTGCTACTGATAGCATTTTTTTTTTCTGGATGAAGCTAGATCTAGAACCAGGAATATGCAGTAGGTCTGCCTCTATTACCTTTAGTCTGGAGCAGTTCATGACCTTGGCACTGCTGAAGAATACTGGTCAGTTATTTGCAAACTTCATCAGTTTGGGATTTTCTCATGTTTCCTAATGCTTTTCCTAGTGCCATTCTGCCAAGAATATCAGTAACTGTGTGTGATTGGGCATCATATTAGGAGGCAGATGATATGGGTGCCTCATTGTTGCTGATGTTAATCTTGATCACTCACTAAAGTATCTTCTTGATTTCTTGTTTGATATTTTCCCTCAGGATAACGAGTGTTCTGTAGGGAAAACTTTCTGAGACTTAGATACACTAAGTTTCTCTTTGTATTTTCACCTACTCATCTTGCACCCACTAGAAGTGTTTCCTGACAGTTATTTCTGTTATTTACCAATAATGGGTTCATAGTACTCATAATTTCTTCTAAAATTACTAATTGTAATTCTACTGTAAATAAAAGTTTAAGCTAGGAGTGGTGGCTCATTCCTGTAATCCCAGCATTCAGTATTCAGAGGCAGGAGGATTGCTACAAGTTTGAGACTAGCCTGGTCTATATAATATAGCAAGCTCTGGGCTAAGCTAAGTCTATATACTGAGACTCTCTCTCAAAAGATAGAGGGGGAGGTTTTATCGTTTCCATTTTCAAAAAATTATTTATTTAATAACCACATAATTAGAAGAAGCATTGACATATTCAGTAGCAATTTCCAGAGCTAAGATGTATCTCTTTCAAAATTGGTTGTAAATTTTTAGGTTTACAGTTGAATTAATACAGTTACACAATATTGTACTCAGTATAAACCCTATAAGACATAAAATTAAATGAGGTTATATGAGGTTTTAACCTTTAAAAAGATCTCCATTTTGTTATTAAAATACACCATTTCATACAGAAAAATCCATTTTTAATGCAATTGACACTAAGATGTTTGCACATGCATTTCTAATCTCTATATATCTGATTATTACGAGTCACAGTCGGTTACTTTCTGAGCTCCTTGGCATCTGAGCATGGATAGAACATCATCAGATAGATTTCAGTGGTAATGTTTTTCACATTTGCTAATTATTAAGGAGCAAATTTTTATACATTGAAGAATTAGTTTTTAAATTTTTAAAAAATGTAATAACCACATGATTAGAAGAAGCATTTCATTACAGCTTTAACATATTCAGTAACACACTCCAGAGCAAGGATACATCTCTTTCAAAAGTAGCTACAAAATTTTTAGGTTCGCTGTTGAATTAATACAGTTATACAATATTGGACACAGTATAAGCCCTGTAAGACATCAAATTGGATGAGTTTTTAACCTTTAAAAAAATCTCCATTCCATTTTAAAATATACTGTTTCTTACAGAAAGACTGTTTTTGCTACTGTCACTGA